CTGAACCATGCCAGGTCTTAATGGCAAGTGAGAAAGGAGACAACACATGTGTGGGAACTTGTTGAAAGAAAAAAAGTAGTGTACAAGTAACAGGTCGTAACCTATGAGGCTGAGCAGAGCTGCAAATGCAGATATTTCAGAAAGTTCCTCATCAGTGCTCAGAACACAACAGCTCAGTGGACTCTGCCTCTACCATGGGAAGTAGCAGCCCATGCTATTGCTCCCTAATTATTTCTCCCAATTGGCACCCAAAGATTTGGATCCCCAGGAAGACCACTGCCCTGGCCACTCCCATGCCAAGTAAGCCCCTCATCTCCTCTGCACCATGAGGAAAGACAGGCTGCACCACTGTGCATCCTTCTCTGTGGTCTGCAGTCAGAGCCCAGTTTGCAGAATTGGCATATAACCAAAGTCAGTCAAACTGGCTGACTGAGGTATGCTCTTCCATGCCAGTTAGCCTGAGCTCACTGAGAGAGGTTTCACTGGTTCACATGAAGAATCCTCTCCCCAGAAGACACATACTTAAGACTACACTCTTCTAGGAACCCTTCCACAACCTCCAAGGAGAATCCAGCTGGGCCATGAAGCCCAAGGAACTTCAGCCCAGCCCTAAAAGTGGTTCAACCCACTTTTATCCAGGTCGAGTGGCACCTATCATAAGCTAAATTGTATTCATCCCAAATTCTTTTGTTGAATTCTTAACTTCCATAGTTCAGAACTATAGCTGTATTTACAGATAAGGCTTTTAGTGAGGACTAAATGAGGTCATAGTGGGTGGGTCCTCATCTAATTGGATTACTATCCTTACAAGAAGAGGAGATAAGAACTCAAAGACACCCACATGAACAGAGCAAATGCCATGTGAGGACACAGTTATAAGACAGCCTTCTGCAAACCAAGGAGAAAGGCCTCAGAAGAAATCAACTCTGCCAACATCTTGATTTTGAACTTCTAACTTTCAGAACTGTGCAAAAATAAAATTATGTTATTTAAGCCACCCAGTCTGTGGTATTTTATTATAGCAGCCCTAGCAAACTATAACAGTATCTAACAGACAAATGAAAGAAAAACAGCCATGCCCAATAATAGGAAAAATAAAATCTCACACACATATTTATAAAATAAGCATGACTGTTTGCATTCTGAATTTATATGACCCACCTACCTCAGAATTTATGAAATACCAAGAATTAAGATATAATTTACATTAGAGAAATTTAATATTGACCTTTTGAAAGGGCTCACATAAAAATGCCCCTTTAAGGGAAAAAAAGAAAAAAAACAAGGGAAAGAATTGAATAACAGCAAATGGGGTAGAGAGAGAAGATGAGAGGGAAGGGGAGGGGGGATAGTAGGGGATAGGAAAGGTAGTAGAATACAATAGTCACTAATATGGTATTATGTAAAAATGTGGATGTGTAACCAATGTGGATGTGTAACCGATGTGATTCTGCAACTTGTATTTGGGGTAAAAATGGGAGTTCATAACCCACTTGAATCAAATGTATGAAAGATGATATGTCATGAGCTTTGTAATGTTTTGAATAACCAATAAAAAAAAAGAAAGAAAAAAAATGCCCCTTTAAAGAACATGTTTTTCTAATACTTTTACACTGTGAACTAGCTTTTAAAAATTAAAGTTTAAAGTAGCTTTTGGTGTAATATATCTACTATATAAAGGTAAGGTCCACTATACATAAATTGTGGTTTTTAGCTCTGCTGAGGTCCTCTGAGCTACTACAGAAGGCCTCAGGGAATCCACCTAGGCAGGCACTATGGGGCTAGAGGTCCAGTGGGCTGACTTAAACTAATCAGGGCAGCTATGCTGACACCTCTTCTCCTGCTCAGGTTATATGAGATTCTCTTTGATTAACCATTTTACTAGTTAAAAAATTAAAAGTATGAGAGTCATCAGAAAAAGTTATTATTTCATGATTTTTAAAATAGAAAATCAGGACATAAAAGGGCTACAGATTACAGTTATCATATACATGGATAATTAAGACTATCTTCCACTCTTAAAGGATATCTCAGGAGGAACACATCTTCAGAATTTTTAAATACCTATCAAGAGTAGGGAACTTCAGAGTTGCCTGAGGAGGAGCTTTTCTCCAGGATACAATTTATTAATCATTACATAAAATCTTAACTAACACTCAGTCTCTACCAGTAAACAGGTATGCTTTGTAGCCCTCAGCTGGTTAATCTTTACCACAATCCTCCCTGGTTGGGAAGGAAAGATGTTCTTTTCTACAGCACAGAAAACTGAAGTGAAGAGAGTTAATAATTTGAGAGTGAATGTAGAAATCATGCTCAGTGCTCTTCAGGCAATGGGACAGAGACTCATTTAACATCCTGACAGTTTATTAAACTTCTCAAAAACTGCCTTCTCTCCATAAAAATAGGAGATAAAAATTATCTGGAAGTTTCTTGAAATTAAAGAACACACTGCATGTAAAATGCCAAATGCTTTGTGCATAGCAGATGCTCAACAAGTCTCCCAACTCCCACCTTCCCTTGCAGTCTTACAAATGGACTAGTGTGTAGGACTGCAAGGCATAGGGAACCAGGTGGATTCTTTCCTTAAAATATTGGACTCCTTTAAAAAAAAAAAAAAGTTTTGACATTTAAAAATGTCTTGCTGCTGGTTTTATGGGGACCCCCACATCAACTGCTGTTCTCACAGGAACACTCCACCTTGACACAGACACCATTGCCTTTCTGAAACTAATACAAAAAATAACATTCCTACAGGAGCAAGTTTTATTATCAATGATAGAGAAATCTCCTTGAATTTAAAACACTTGTTTTTATTTAAATAATGTGTTTTGGCACTAAACTAAGTTATAACAGTTTTAAAATACTTAATTTATGACTTTAAGAAAATTAGTTTGTTTAGGTAATGGACTTACTTGTGTGGGTCTAAATAAAATAATTAGGAAGATAAGTCTATACCTAGCATACAGTCATTGATCAATAAATAACGGTTACACAAATAAAGACAAACTTGCTACTATTTTTATAATCAAAATTAAAATGTTGAGAAGGAGTACAGAGATTTTAAGTGGAACCTTTTGGTTTTAAAAAGAAATTCAATTCCAAAGACTGCAAATAAACTGCTATATATGCTTTTTTTTAATTAGAAATGTATAGATAAAATTAAATTTTTAAAATAAAAAACAGAACTATTTAAATTTTATATCAACATTTATTGAGCAAAACACACACACACACACACACACACACACACACACACACACATATACACACACACACACCTGGCCTGGTCTAAGTACTTTATACTTTCCTCTTCATACTTTTAACCTTCATGACAAAGTCTACATTGAAAAAATATTGTCTGCAATCCCCAATTTACAAATGGAGAAACAGAGACACAGATCATTAAATAATCTGCCCAAGATAATACATGATTATAGTTCAGGCAATTTGACTCCAGACCCCACAATTAACTGTTTTAAATGGTATTAATATTCATTTATAAAATACATTTTATGAACAGTCAATAATCAGGATTTTTAAATATGTCAAGCTCAAAATATTTATATTCTAGTAATCAAATTTCTGACTTTGTAGTGAAAGTGGTTTACTTGTGTAGCATTTCACTATACTTTTATAAGGAAACCACACACAAACACATACACACCATGGATTAAGAACATAATTTTAAAGCTTTTTCAGAGTCTCCTTTATGGACAATTTTAAAAGAGAAAAGAAACCCCATTCCATTCTATGAAAATTAGTCCCAAGTTAATTTAAAAGATGTCATTGTAAAGTCTTAAATTAAACAATTTTCATGTATCTGGAAAATATAAATGAGAAGACTTTAGATTCTACTGTTGTTCTGTAATATAGTAAGTTTCTAACAAGAGTTATAATGATTTTTTATAGAAAAATTTTATCAAACTGACTTTTTTTAATAAGTATATTTTAAAAAGAAAATATACATGAATGATGATTTAAAACTAACACTAAACTGGGTGCTATGGTCCACGCCTGTAATCCCAGCAGCTTGGGAGGCTGAGGCAGGAGGATTTCGAGTTCAAAGCCAGCCTCAGCAAAAGTAAGGTACTAAGCAAATCAGTGAGACCCTGTCTCTAAGTAAAAATACAAGACAGGGCTTAGGATGTGGCTCAGTGGTTGAGTGCTCTTAAGTTCACTCCCTAGAACACCACCTCCCCCACTTCCCAGAAAAAAACAAATTAATACTAAAAGCAGCTCTCAGACCTGAGACCCTGCTCACACTGGCAGAATGATAAAGAAGGGGGAGAAAACAAATCAAAACCACAAAAGCAACTGGACAAGGAAATCCAGGTTTAATGCCATTTAAAGACAACATTTCTGATGACAAAGTCCACTTGCAGTACACCTTAATCCTACCTTAGAAATAGGATTTTTAATGACATACAGATAAGTGTTCTGTGGGAGGCCAACCTTACAGGTGACTGAGTTACACTCCCCAGCTGGGTGCTGAGGCACTCAGTCACAGAAATGGGTGTGTCTTGCTACAGCCCAATGGGTGGAGCTATGCTCACCTGTTCCTTTGTAATATAACCCCTTGCCCTGTTTAGGATAGAATCTTCCATGGAAGTGCCTTGTGTGTGTCCCCTTCTCTTACTGTGCCCTTGGGTGTGGCCTACCCAGGTGTCAGTCAACCTGCTGACAATGGACATCATGAAGACAGACTCAGCCCCCTGAAACCTGACCCCTTGCCTCATTTGAATAGCTTCTCCTCAATAAAAGGGGTCAGCGCATGCTCTCCCTCTCTCTCTTTCTGCAGACCCTTAAGGTCAGAGGAGCGGACCTTAAGGGTCTGCAGGTCACAGCGACCCCAAAGAAAAAGGTGTTTGTCTCTTGTGTGGTTATTTCGTGCAGCCCAGTTAGCCCAGTTTAACTAGAGTGACCCCTGAGCCTTTTAGTCGCGAGAACAGAAACCCGGCACTGTTCTTAGAATTTTTCCATACCTAATTTTTGTTGCTTACCTGAAACCCATGCTTGCCTCTCCACCATGTACTTAACACTTTGGGGGGCATATCAATAACGGAAACAATGTCTCCCACCTAAAAGAATCAAAATTTTAGTAAAATTGTTTTAGTTCAATTTTAAATCAATTGCTATACCTAGAGTTTAAATTTGAACTGCACAAAAGGACAGAGTACTATTTTATGCTCTGGCTAATAATTTCTGGAAAAATATATTACCTCTTTTAAAGTAATTTAATAATCTTACTTTTTGCTAAGGAAAGTTCTAAAAAAAAATGTTAAGCAACACAAAAACTGTGATCTTAGTAACTCATATGCAGTAATGTCAGAAAGCTAGATTTTAGATGAAGATTTTTTTTAATGCTAGGTATCATACCATTATCATCAGTTATGCTTTAAAATACTGACTCCTATGTATATTGGGTTGGACTATACCATGGTGCAAAAGTGATATGCACTTGGTAGAAACTGTGCTTCAAATTTTGAATTTTGATTGTTTCCCAGGCTAGTAATATGTATAATATTCTTCTGTGATACTGCGTAACATGGAGCCACACCTCCAATCAGTCATGTCACAAGGGCAGACAACTGAGAAACTACAATTCCCTTGTTGCTAAGCCAGGATGTTCAGTAGGTTAGGCATGTTTGATATATTTTTAACTTAACAGTATTTTCAACTTAAAATGGGTTCAGTGGGGTATAACCCCATGCTAAGTTGTAGAACTTATGTACTTTGTAACCACTGTCACTGGAAGCAATGAGAATTCACTTACAGAAGTTTCAAATACTTATATTTAAAACAATAATACCATTAATGTTACCATTATATTGCCATGTGCAAGCCATTATACTGATATATCTTATTTAATCATATAGGAAAGGCCCAAGATGGATTGTTCTTAGTAAGTACAAAATGTGATGACAATTCAACTCCTTTCAACAACCCACTATAGTCCAACACTCCACTATAGACCTAACTTTCTTCATTGTAAAAAGCAAGCTAGTGAGTTTACATGAGTATTTTAATAATTTTAATTATAATAATTAAGTAATATATTTCATAGAAGTTATATTCTTCCATCAAAACAAGTGCTATTATCTATGAAAAACAAAATTTAATACTTAAGAGCACTATAACTAATATACACATTTTTAGGAACCTACATATTTACTCTGACTTCTCAAGTCATGACTAAGCTATCTTCATAGTCATATTTGCTAAGAGATATGATATCTTTGAAGACCTGCAGTTCTTTCTGTACAGAACCTAAGAGTGTAGTTTGAAAACTATTCAGAAGCTAGACAGTAAAAACTGATACTCTTCTATCTTAAATTGAATAACTGTTAGCATTTGTCTTTTACCACCTGAGACATAGTTTTAGAGGAAGAAATGTAATTCCCTTCTCCTTTTGCATCTGATCAAGAAAATATTCATTCACCCTCCATCTGGTCCTTTAACTCAATCTTTAAACAAACATTTTTAAAAGGTATTACTGGGTATCACCGTTTTTATGCACTAAAAACACAAAGAAAGATACTGCTATCAAGAGGTCCACTGAAACAAACAGGAGGAAAACTATGATTAAATGTAATAACTGATATGTCATATATAAGCCATGAAAGCTTTTCTGAATGACATTCATTCCAACTTTTGGGGGTGTTATCTGCATGTAGTAAGGTGAGGGATACCAAGGATGGCTTTCTAGAAGAAATGAGAGATGCTGAAGCTGAGTGTTAAAGGATGGACATGATCATTTAAACAAAAATAGAAAAGTTTCCAGGCCAAAAGATAAAGGACTTCAGAAATACCTGGTGCTTTTAATTTGTTAAAATTAAGTAAATGATTAAAACACTTAAGCATAAGGCTAGAAAGTTAACGGGGACTAAAGAACAAAATGCATAATTATTTACCTCTAATGTCAATTCATCTGGAGCCCGAGCAGTGTACCTCTTGATAACATGGGCAGCACCAACAGCAGGAGTGTTGATGGATGATTCCTCATGAACTAGAAGATGATTTCCCTTATTATCAATCTGTAATGAAGCACACATACTATGAGACGGTTAAAGACATGGAACCTGCACAAGTTTCTTTGACTACTTATAAAATATAATTCAATTTTATTTAGACAGATAATGATTCAAAGTCTTTTAAAAAACACAAGTACATAGTTAATATATGATAGTCATTGTGCTATGGCATTTAACATACATCATTTCAACACTATTTCAATGCTAAAGTTGGAAGAGGTTAAACAAAGAAAAAGTAATTCAATCTTTCATAAGATAGGAAAACATAAATTACAAAAACACATAGTATGTAATGGAAAAGTCAAGGCCAAGAGTACAATTGCTTTCAACAGTTCAATATGCTTTCTACTTTCCTTCTTGTCTTCCCAATTTCCGTTGGGAGTAGAAAATACATAACTATATGCAAATTAAGCACAAATATCTAACATATTTACAGGATAATGTTTCTTTTTTTATTTTTTCAAAAAATAAATGACAGCGGAATGTATTACAATTCTTACTACACATATACAGCATAATTCTTCCTCTCTCTGGTCTTTTTATAAATATTTATTTTTTAGTTGTAGTTGGATGCAATACCTTTATTTTATTTATTTTTATGTGGTGATGAGGTTCGAACCCAGGGCCTCCCATGTGCTAGGCAAGTGCTCTACTGCTGAGCCACAACCCCAGCACCTACAGGATAATGTTTCACTCAATATACTCTTAAATCAGATCCTTTAAAATAGCTATTACTTGTTTGTAAATAAGTGAAAAACATTTTCAATTATTAGTTGGGCAAGGTAGTGCTCATCTGTAACCACAGCAACTTGAGAAGCTAAGGCAGAATTGCAAGCTCAAAGCCAGCCTCAGTAACTTAACAAGATTTTGTCTCAAAATAAAAAATAAAATGGGTTAGGAATGCAGCTCAATGGTAAAAGCACCCCCAGTTTCAATTCCCTTTACCACAAAATTCAATTATTAAGTAAACTAAAAAATATATAGTTTGCTCAATGTGAACATTAATACTCTGAATACCAAAAAAGTATGAAGATTCATAAAATATATTAAAACTCATTTCACAAATTATCAAAGGAGACTTGAGATGAAAAACATTTTATGTATCACATATCCATCCTCCCAGATGAGAACTCCACTTCTTTTGATTATTGATACTCAACTATCAAATTAATATTAAATTTCTTAAGTAAATAACTTTAAAATAAATTTTCATAAGAAGTGAATTAGGTAATACCTCCATCCAAGTAAGGGCAGGCCCACAGTTGATCTTGTTACCAGCAATAGCTGAAAGGCGTGACAGGTAAGCCATGAGCATCTGAGTGACTGACTGCAAAGAAAAAGTTCAGTATAACTCACAGGAAAGATATTGTACTCTCTCGCAGAGAAACTCTGAAGTGAACTGTTTATTGGTGGGGTAGAGGTGTGTTTACAGATCTTGAAGCATTTTAATGGTTACAGAAGATTTCACAGAGGACTGCCACTGAAACTATGGGCACTGACATAATGATTCAGACCCAGGGCTTTAACTTTTTACCCCTTATTATCAATGGTTATGTCATTCTACAACATTAGAAGTTATTTACTGCTCTATTTTTGTATTGAAAATGTAAAAAAAAAGTTTATTACAGATCCATATTTGATTATTCTGCCTAGCTTTCCCCTGATTTCCAGAAACCCTATTCTCCAAGACTCTCTATAATCTTCCATGCCTGTGCCAGGTAGGAGCAGCCATGTTCATGAATGATCATACCCCATGGAATAGCACATTGTCCATGAAATTTTAGAGTCTGAGAAAAATGAAGAAATAAGCAGATATAGGAAATGAATACGGAAACTTCTAGGTTTTCTGTAGTAAGAAGCAATCTTTGTGATTTTAAGACATCCCTAAGCCTCTAATGCAGGATCAGTCCCTCCATGACTGATGATGGCTCTTCTTTGCCCTACCTACTTAAACTGCCTTGGAATTAATTTTAAATTTAAAAGTACTTCCTCTTAGGATTTATAACTGCAGCTCAAAAGTCTAATGCTTGTTCTTTTAAAGAAAAAAAAATTCTGCTTCTTGTTCTATGGATAGTTATAGGATTTTTCTCTATGTTTTGACATGCTAAAATTTCATTACAGTGCTTCTTGGTGTGTGGACAAGTTCTTTTGCTCATTATATGGTAGCACTCATGGGCCCTCTGAATCTGAAAATATTGTTTTCTTTATTTATGGGGAAGTTTTTATATTAATTTTTATTTTATTTTTATTTCTTCCTATCTGATTTGTTCTCCTATAATCCCTATTAATAGGAACTGCTCTGGATCCATTCTCCACAATTTTCAACTATACTCTCAAAACTTTTTAATTTTTTGTCCCTTTCAGGACAATATTCTTTTTTTAAAAGTTAAATGTTAGTTATATTTTTGTTTAGTACAGATACAAATAATTTATAGCTAATAGAATAAATAATGCAAGAGGTAAAGCTTATAGCCCTTTTTGATATTGTTTTTTAAAACTAACCCAGCCATCTTAACCTAATATTCTTTTAATAATAATACTTCATAAAGTGCCTATTGTTTGTAAATAACTTATTTCTCAAGCACTATTGTTTTTCATGTTAATAATCAGCTAGATAAAATATTTCCTTTTATTTAGAATTTTGCATTTGGAAAGTTGTACTTGAACATCCCTAACTCCATACTCCAAATCAACAGTACCTCTTTATGTTCTACTCCCTAAACAGCTTTCTATTCAAACAAATCCAATGCTTTATACACATTGTTACCACCTTAAAATTCCCTTGTCAGGACCATATTCTTATAAATGACTTGACTTGACCTCAAGCTCACTAACTCTCTCTTTAGATATTTTCATTTTATATGTACTTCAGTTATTCAGATTGGTTATTATTAAAAATAAAAGATCATATGTTCTTTCCCAAAGTTTCTGATTATCTAATTTTACAAAAATCTGTCCTTATTCATGGATATTATAACTCACTTCCCCTCAGAGGACAGCAATCATACATTCAAAGGCCTTCTGATGTACATTCTTTTCGGTTATATTCTGTTCACTCAGTACTTGCATGTAAAACTTCTAATTTACCTACCTTCTAGAATCATCCTATATGGGTTTTAAGCTATATTTTCTGTTCCCATAAATCTTATTCCTCTTAGGATTTATAACTGCAGCTCAAAAGTCTAATGCTTGTTCTTTTAAAGAAAAAAAAATTCTGCTTTCAAAGACTTTCAAAGACTCCTCCCAATTTTTGACTTCGAAAAAAATTTTTTGTTGACTAATGCTATAAAGAATTTATTTTCTTTTAAATTAAAAAAAGAAACTTTTTTTTTTTTGCTAGAAATATTTAGCAGGAATGGAACATGTGCACACACAACTTGCCATTATAAACTAATCAAACAGCACTGTTTGAATGTAGATTTTCTGTTTACTAGGAAGTAAACATTTTTAATTTTTCATGTTCTCATGTGCTATTTGAAGAATGGTTGCTAACATATAATGCCTGTTTACATATTATCATTATGAGGACTTTCTTCCTTATAAAATTATACACTGAACCAATTTTAACTATAAACATCCTACTAATGTTTCTGTTATGAAATAGAAATGATATGTAATCCCAGGAACAACTCTAAGTGCTCAACATAAACTTTTATTTAGCATACAGACAAAAGTTTCTACTAATTCATATACAATATGTAGTGATCACTTCTGCTTACCTCTGGACTGTCCTTAAGACTGTCAGAACGGGGAAGCTCTGAGAGCTGGGAGAATCTTCGGTCATAAATACAGAGATGAAGATGTTTATCAAGTACCCGAAAATCTTCATAACTTCTTTTAACAATCCAGCTTTTGCCCTATGTGTAGGGAAGAAACACTCATATAATTGATCTTTATCTGGAAATGCTTTGGTATCAGGCTTTATTTTATAATGGTAGTTTCTTCCTGAGACTTTATACTTTCTTTTTTTTTCCTTTTTTTAAAATTTCTTACCTACATGACAATAGTGGAATGCATTACGATCATAATTATCCATTCAAAACACCATTTTTCATAACTCTGTCTATAAAGTATGTCCACTCAAAATTATGCCATTATACATGAGCTCTCAAGGCTTTATACTTTCTAATAAGAAGTTTCTATTAACTCGATAGTAAATAGTTAAACTCCATAACACTCTAGTGAATTATATTATACTGAAAGGTCAATAATGGAAAATAAGATAGAATTTTCCATTAATCCTCTTCCTACTACTGGTCAAAGTCCACAGACTCTGTTTGAGAATAACTGTTAGATAGTGAAATAGTGCATGACTTTAAACCTATGGGGAAAAAAAGCATAAAATAACTCTGGGTCAGAGAATACTTCCTAAAATTAAAGAAAAATAAAATCAGTTGATTGACTAGTTATTACAAACATTTTCTATTACCGAGACTGGAAATATACTCAAAATCAAAACTATAAAACTGTACTTCTGGTAAGGTATTAATTCCAGATTATATAGGATTATCAAGCAATTTAATAGCAAAAGAATAATAGCCTGATTTTAAAATGGGCAACAGACTAAACAAACATTTCTCAAAAGAAGACATACAACTGTCCAACAGATTTATAAAGAAATGGTCAATATCACTAATCATCAGGGAAATATAAGTGAAAAGTATAAAAAGATACATCAATTCAATTAGAATGTCTATTATTAAAAAGACAGAAGACAACAAGTTCTGGTAAAGATTTGGAGAAAAGGGGACACCTCTATACTGTTAGTGGAAATATAAAACTATGGAGGTTCATCAAAAAATTAAAATAGATTTACTATATGGTTTGACATTCCCATAGCCTATCGGGTATATATCCTATGTATTTTATATACATATCAAAATGTCAAAGAAATACTTGCACTCCCATGTTCCGTTGTAGTACTATATTCTCAAACAATGAAACTCAGAGAAACAGAGAACAGAAGGGTGACTACCAGAAACTGGTGGGAGAGGGGTTTTAGAAAGAATGGAGAGATATTTGTGACAATAGTCACATTATGGAAACAATTTAAGTGTCCATCCATAGATGAATAGATTTTAAAAATGTGATATATATATATATATATATAAATATAAATATATATACACACACACATATACATACACACACACCATTAAATATTAATTCAGCCCCACAAGAGAAGAAAATTCTGTCATTTGCAACAGTAAGTATGAACTTGAAGAACATTATGCTGAGAGAAATAAGCCAGGCCAAAAGAAAAAAAAATCACACCTCATGTTCTCACTTATATGTGGAATCTCAAACAATGAAACTCAGAGAAACAGAGAACAGAGGGTGACTACCAGAAACTGGTGGGAGAGGGGTTTTAGAAAGAATGGAGAGATATTTGGAAACAAGATGAAGTTGTAGCTATACAGGAGGAATAAATGCTAAGTATTTAGGGTGAAATAAACAAAAAATTCAGAATGGAATCATTTAATTAAAATGGTTGGTTTTGTTTCCTTGGGACAATCCTCCTATACAGATATTTAAAACAATTTTTTAAAAAGGTTTTAAAATACATTGTGTTATGCTTTGTATTTATTTGACCAGTCAACTTTTAGCTCATTTTGGCTTTGTCTTACCAAGTATCATATGAAAATGTGAAGCAGCATGAAAATAATATTGATTCAGTTACGTTTCAGAAATGATCATGTTTTTCAGATTGCAAAAGCATGTTGTATTTCTGGTTTCTGATCTGGCATAAAAGAAACTTAAAAGTCACCATTCCAAATAAAAGCTGAAAAAACTGAAAACCAACAAATCTTAGATGCATTGCAGGGCAAACTGCTGTCCCTCAAATTGGGGAAAGACAGGTGAATACAGAAAATCATAACCATTATAACTGGAGTAGAAATCCACCAGCATAAAAATCTATGGATAGACTTTTACCAGAGATGGAGTAGGAAAACTTAAATTGTAATTGATAAGTTTCTAGAGGTTCAGGGATGACAAGACTGAGTTAAAACTCCATGGAGTCCAATCTCGGGGAGCAATCATATACCCTGGTGAATCTTACCTTCAGAAGCTCTACCAGGTCCTCACAATGAATATCAGAAAAATCTCCTCAGTTTCCAGCAAGGGGAAGGGGAAAAGGAACTCTTGGAAGATGCCAGAGTATTTACATTCTTTTCAACAAGGCCTGCCCTCAGAAGAAACTGTCTTTCTGTAGCCTGATCTGTTGGGGTTTTATCAGTGCCTAAATTACTTGAGGGAAAGGTGAATCCCCACTCCATCTGAAAACCAACAGTAGGGGAACCCTGAACTCCATCCAGCTCACTCTAGTAATACTGACCACTTGCTGGGAAGGGAACTGATCAGCACATGACCACAGTTCATGAGCACAGGCTCACTAAAAAAATGAGACCTAACCACAAGACTATAGAATGCTTCTCTTCCCCTCAATACTTTACCACCAGGACACTAAAGGTTTCCTTACTGCAATTTCGTTCATCTAGTATGTCCATCTTTCAACAAAGAAGTACAAAGTAAATGAAAAGGAGAAAAAAGGTTTCAAGAGAATGAACAAGTATCAACAAAACTCAGATATGGCAGAAATGTTGTAATTACCAGATCAGGAATTTAAAAGACCTATGATTAATATGCTAGGGGCTTTAAAAGGAAAAAGTAGACAAAAATGCACAAACAGATTACTAATATAAGCAGAAAATTCGAAATTCTAGCAAAGAATCAAAAAGAAATGCTAGAGATAAAAAATACTGTAACAGAAATGAAGAACATCTCTGATACACTTGTAACATCTTTGAGACTGGACACAGGTGAGGAAAGAATTTCTGTGCTTGAAGATATCCAAAACTAAGAAGTAAAAGGGAAAAAGACTGGGGAAAAGAAACATTACCCAGAGATGGTGGAGAAACTACAAAAGGTGTAAAAGTTGCCTTACAGGAAAATCAGACACAGAAGAAATACAGAAAGGAGCAAAAGTAATATTTGAAGCAATCATGACTAAGTATTTCTCCCAACTAATGTAGACACCAAATCACAGACCCTGGAAACTCAGAGAATACAAAGCAATCAAATGTCAACCTAGGCATATCAAATTCAAACTTGAGAAAATCCAAGATAAAGAAAACATCCTGAAAGAAGTCAGAGGAAAAATCTACCTTAGCTAGAGGAGCAAAGACAGGACTAACATCCAAGCTTATCCTCAGAAACCATGGAAACAAAAAATAGTATGGCATAAAATAATTAAAAGACTTGAGAGAAAAACCCCACCAACTTAGAATTCTGTATCCTATCAAATTATCCTTCAAAACTGGAGAAAAGACTTCATCAAACAAAAATTCGAAAAAAGTTGCAGACAGTATACATGCCTTGCAAGAAATGCTAGAAGTTCTTCAGATGGAAGAAAATTATATAAGTAAGAAATCTGTGTTACATAAAAAAAAAGATACTGGAGAAGAAATAAGTAGAAGTAAAATAAACTTTTGTTTTATTTATTCTTAATTGAGCTAACAGATAAGAATGTGTTCAAAATAATAAAAGTAATGTATTTATTTATGTATATATGTATATATGCTTATGTATACATGCTTTATAAAAGTGAAATAATGACAGTGATAATAGAATGGATGGGGGAGAGGGATTAGGACTGTACTAAGTGAAGTACTTGTACAGCCTGTAAAGCAGAATACAATTATTTGAAAGAAAAACTGAATTAGTTGTAAGTGTATATTGAAAAATCCACAGCAACAACTAAGGGAAGTTTTTAAAATATATAATTGATAATGCTAAGTAAGGAGAAGGAGAAGAAATGGAGTCATATAAATTGCTCAAGTTTTTATAAACATGAAATTGAAGTAGATCTAAGTGTTCTCACCACACACACACACACACACACACACACACACACACACACACAAGGTGAGGTGATGTATATGTTAAATACCCTGATTGTGATAATGATTTCAGAATGCATATGCACATCAAAACATGTTCTATGTCTTAAATATACACAATTTTTTATTTGCCCATCATATCACAGAAAAGATGGGGAATAGAGAAGAAAAAAGAATAGAACAAGGGCAACAAATAGAAAACAACAATAAATATGGTAGATATTAATCCAGCTATATCAATAACCACTTTAAATATCAATGGTCTAGCACATCAATTAAAATACTGAGATTGTTCAATTGGATCAAAAACAAGATAAAAACCACTTTATCCACAAGAAGCTCACTTTAAATATAAGACACAGTCCAATGCAGTGGGACACAACTATAATCCCAGCTACTTGGCAGGCTGAAGCAGAAGAATGCAAGTTTAAGGCAAGTCTTGGCAACTTAGAGAGAACCTGTCTCAAAATAAAAAGAGAAGGGGCTGAGGTTGTGGCTCAGTGGTAGAAGGCTCGCATAGCATGTGTGAGGCACTGGGTTCAGTACTCAACATCACATAAAAATAAATAAAATAAAGATAGTGTGTCCATCTACAACTAAAAAATGAGTAGAGGATATAGCTCAGTAGTAGATCATGCCTAAATTTGATCCCCAGTACTGCAATCAATCCATCAATCACACAAATAGACTGAAAGAAAGAAATGGATAAAGGTATAGCATGCTAACACTAATTTTAAAAAACAAGAGTAGCTGTATATATCTCAGACAGAGGAGTCTTCAGAGCAGAAATGTTATGAGGAATAAAGAAAGGTGATAATGATAAAGGATCAACATTGTAAGAAAAACTTAACAATTCTTATTGTGTATGTGCCTAAAAGCAGAGCATAAAAATACTATGAGGCCAAACTTAATAGAATTGCAAGGGGAAATAGATAATCCCACTATCATAGCTGAAC